GGGAGGGATTCATTTCAATAAGGGTATATGTAAGTTTCTGAACTTAAGCAGGAATGATCAGATGCACAAATATAGGATTTTTTTTTTAGGGGAGGGACAGACTTGACAGCAGTACAAGCAGAAAGGATCTAGGGGTCTTGGTAGACTGCAAGTTTTAATATAAGACAACAGTGTGATGCAGCAGCAAAAAAAAGCTAATGCTATTCTAGGCTGTCAACAGAAGTACAATATCCTGATCAAGAGAAGTCATAGTTACACTTTATTCTTCCTTGGTTAGAGTACTGTGTTCAGTTCAGGGACCACAGTTTAAGAAGGATGTTGACAAGCTGGAACGTGTGCAGAGGAGGACACCCAAGATGACAAAAGGTCTGGAAACCAAGCCTTATGAGGAACGGTTGAGGAAACTGGGTATGTTTAGCGTGGAGAGGAGGGGACTGAGAGGTAACATGACAGGCCTCTTCAAATATCTAAAGCATGGGTAGGCAAACTAAGGTCTGGGGGTTGGATCCGGCCCAATCGCCTACTAAATCCAGCCCACGGACGGTCCGCAAATCAGCGTGTTTTTACATGAGTAGAATGTATCCTTTTATTTAAAATGCATCTCTGGGTAATTTGTGGGGCTAGTGGCAGAGCTTCATGCTCCAGCACCAGGGGCATGGCGTGCGTCCTGGGGGTGGGATGTGCTACCCGCAGGGGTGGGGCGCCCAGCACGGGGGGGGGGGGCAGCCGCAATGGCACCCTGGGGGTCATGCTGCCGAGGGCAGTGCGCTCCCCCCCCCCGCACTTCTCTTCTTCCGCCAGAGTGTGGGGTCTGCCTGGTGTTTTTACATGAGTAGAATGTGTGCTTTTCTTTAAAATGCATCTCTGGCTTATTTGTGGGGCATAGGAATTCTTCATTCCCCCCCCAAAAAAAGGCCGGCCCCCATAAGGTCTGAGGGACAGTGGACCTTCTGAAAAAGTTTGCTGACCCCTGAAAAGGGCTGTCACATGGAACACGGAGCAAACTTGTTTTCTACTGCTTCCGAGGGCTAAGACCCAAACCACTGGATTCAAATTACAAGAAAGGAGATTCTGACTAAACATCAGGAAGAACTTTCTTTTCATGAACTTCCTTATCTTGCTGTGCAATCCTACACATATCTACTCAAAAGTAACTCCCTAGCATTTACATCTAAGTTTGTGGGTTTCAGGACTGCAGCCTCAGGAGCCAAGCCCATCAAAGAGAGGACAAAAATACAACTCGCCTGTGTGTTCTTATGATCTGTAAACAAGTAAAACAATCAACAGACTAGAAGTTATTGGCAGGGCACATGTTTTGCGTCAATGAAGCCCCCAGGTTGTTCCTGAGACTCTCCAGGTTAAAAAATAGCAGGGTTGAGGAAAATCTCTCCTGAGAGATTAGACAGCTGCTGCAGCTTCCAGTCAGAATCAACAATCCTGAGCTAAATGGACGAGTGCTCTGAATTCCAAAGTAGATGTGACTGGCCTTTGGCTGTTCATCTCGAGTTTCACATCCATTCTGGATCAAGGCCATGATGTGGGTGGAGACAAGCATTTAATCCTTTGACTCCACCATGATCTTGATCTGGACACACAAACACACACGGGGCAGGTGGGTGCTGCTGTTTGCCCCAAGGGGATCATTGTCATTAGCACTAATAGCAAACAGTGGCTGTGGTGGATCCTGGGACAAATAGGTGGTACAGGGGGCCTTGATGCAGATCAGGATTGCACCAGGGGAAAAGGGTTACGTTTCCTCTCCCCACATGCTGTGGAATCAAGTTGTTCCCTTGCACAACCGCAATTTAACAATAGCAGCAACAAAAGAGGACGCACGCGCGCACACACAAATCATGCAAAGTCTAATCAGGTCCTCAATGTCTGGCCCCAATCCAGCATTAAGCCACTTCATATGTCTGCCCAAAGCAGAGCTCCGTTGTCATTTCCCAGGCTCCCACAAAAAGCCTCCAAGCTTTCAGCTGCTGTTTCTGTAGCATAACCAGTGACCTCAAGCTGTGCAGTGATACATCCCATTAACACTTCTGTAAACCGTTTAGTCTTGCTTTGAAGCCTGATGTAAGCCTGGCAGCTCTCTTTGCTTGGAATGCTACAAGTGACATAGCAGCAAAGATCATAGCGTGGCAAGTATAGGCATTACTACCAAAGTAAATATAATTTGTGTAGTTCTGTTTTCAAATGCAGAAATGGAATGAGAGGGCAACAGTACAACTCCAAGCTGTGCACAAATAATCCACAGGGAAATGATGGGATATATATTTTTTTACACAGTGTGGTTTGGGCACAGGGTCAAGCTGCAGCTAAGGATGGATGAAGCTGCCAGTTTCAATACCTCTTGGTTTATCATTTCTCCAGTCTTAAATACAGTTCTCCCCATTCCCACTTCAGTTTGCAATTAAAAGAAGTATTCAGGAAAATCCGGACTGAAAGAACATACTGAAATACTATCAAAATAAGACAGGGATACTGTGAGTTGCTCTTCTGTCCAGAAGTGTGGGATATATCCTGTTTTGGATAGGATTATTCTCCTCATGAAGAGGCAGGTGCCCAGCCCGGAGACACTGTTGGAGACAACACTGCCATTGAAGGCACAAGCGCTCTCGGTGGCACAAGGTGCCTTCTGCTAGCTTCAGTTGGTAGCTCAAAGATGGTAGCACTTTCTGGACAGGGGTAGCCTGGCTTTGGCTGTCTATGCTCTAGTAACCTGTAGTTTGGACTACTACAATGTGTTGTTGTAATAACATCAGAGGAGCCCTGCTGGATCTGCCTCAAGGACTGCCTCTTTCCATATGAACCTGAGGTCATCTTCTGAGTGTCACAGTCTGGTCTATGGGCGACTGAAGTTCTGGCTGAGGATGTCGGGACCGGAGGCAAGATGGCGGGGTGGGAGCAGGAACGAGAGTCCAGAAGCCAGGGATCTGAGGGTCAGGAAGCAGGGGGTCATGAAGTCAAGGGTCCAGGGGTCAAGAAGCAAGCAGTCAAGAAGCCGAGGTCCGAGGATCAGGAAGCAAGAAACCAAACACAGCAAGGCAGGAAACATGTTGCTGTGGCAAAGAGCTGAAGGGAAATGCTGACCTTATATCCCTTCCGGGCTCTAGCCACCAGGTGCAGTGAGTTACCAAGCGGCCTCACCTGTGCAGCCATGCCTTGTCTCTCCTGAACAAACTTAGGAAGACCCCAGTCCTGCGAAGCCCTACTGGTCACAGGGCCTGGCTCCTGCACGCACACCTGGCACTGAGGCCCTTCTTTGTGTGCATCCTCCATGAGAGGAGGGTGGCAACACAAAAATGGGCCTTTTCTGCAGTGGCTCCCTGTTTGTGGAATGCTCTCCCCAGGGAAGTTTGCCTGGCGCCTTCATTATACACTTTTAGGTGCCAGACAAAAGCATTCCTCTTTAACCAGGCCTTTGGCTGATTGACATCCAGTGCCCTTTTAAAATGTTTGTGAGGGTATTGGGTTGGTTTTCCTTTTTCTTTTGATTGTGTATTTTGCGCTTTTATATTGCACTTTTATCTTGTGAACCACCCTGAGCCCTGCGGGTATAGGGCGGTATACAAATTTAGTAAATAAAATAAATCTGGCCTATCTCCCATCCACTCCAGCATCATGTTCTCACAGTGGCCAACCAGATGTCTCTGCTAGAAGGACCTGAGTACAACAATATTTGCCCTACCTCTGATTCTCAGCCACTGGCTCTCAGGGGCATATGGCTGCCTACAGTGGAGGAATAGCACAACCATTATGGCTGGTAGCCATTGACGGATATATTCTCTATGAATTTGCCCCTGCCTTAGAGGGCAAATTTTCCAGCTGTGGGGAGAGGGCTGGTACATCTCCCTGCAGCTGGAAGATTCAAAACCAAGGCTGCCATGGCAGCAGGCTGGCCCCATTCCACAACACAGAAAGGTAAGCGGTATTCCAAAAGCCCGTAGAAGAGGCCAGCTTTTGTGAAACATTCAAATGAGATCGACATGGTTATGCTCAAATGGGACCTTGATAGCATCATCGTCATTATTATTTTTGCCTTATTAGGCAACCATTTCTAGATAAAGCTTTAATCGCCAATCACATCTTACCAGGGAATTTATTGACAGCAGCCAGGTGGATTAATGCAAAGTTGACTCCCAGTGGATTAGGCACTGTTACTGCTCCTGAAATTTCTACTTCACTGCAGAACGTACATTATTAAAGTATTTCCTCCAAGGGCAACTTTTCCAATAGTTTCGTCCAGTGTATAATTAAATATCTCTCATAAACACACATTCTTGCGGAGCAAATCAGTTCCTGCCCAAGATGGATCAAACTGCAGGCATAGGCAAACTCGGCCCTCCAGATGTTTTTGGGACTACAACTCCCATCATCCCTGATCACTGGTCCTGTTAGCTAGGGATGATGGGAGTTGTAGTCCCAAAACATCTGGAGGGCCGAGTTTGCCTATGTCTGGATCAAAGGATCCACGGTTACATCAAAAGCACTGCCGCTTGCAGCAGCCAGGTAAGGAGGGAGAGGCATTATTTTTTACACAGTTGTTTCTCCTGCACCATTCCAGGGCAGTACAAGGGAGAAACCCAAGGATTAGACCCCTACTCAAGAGATCTGAAGGGCTTCGGAACCTGTGGATATAAGACCTCCAGCATCCCCAGCCAATCCCAAAATGCCCCCTAAATGCTTTAGGAGTTTCTGCTGTTGGGAAAACAGGTGACAGCAAGCTAGAGTTTCTCTTAGGGCAGAGACCACCGCAGCCAAAGCACTCCCCTCCATCAGTAAGATTATGCTATTGGGTTCTAGACTACTGGGGAAATTAAGCATAGGCTTCCGAAGGCAGATGAAAACTTTGCAGTCTGTTTTCCGTGCCCCCAAAAATATAAAAATCACAGATCATCACTGCAATCTCCTCTGTACATGTGCGCGCACACACGCAAAACGAAATTACACAGAAATTACACTTCACCCAGAAACAAAAATGATAACATATGTAGTACCTGTGCAGCTTGAGTGTAACAGTTCCGTAAACAGTAGTAAATCCCAAAAGGCGAACCCATCTTAGGAGAACACAGCGAAATGTGCTTGGCTCAAAGTACAAAATGATAACCTAGAAAACAAAACAAAAGACATACAGAAGATATGTAGCAACTTCAGGTGAATCACAGAAGCCCTTCCTGGTTCATAAACAGAACGAGGGTTGGACACTGGGAGGTGCACTTTTTCCAGTGTTCCTGGGTGATTTCTGAGTTTGCTGCTACTTTATCTTTCTGCGTTTGCTGCTTACTTATCTTTCTCAGCCTAAATTGAAGGAGTGTAAAGAGCAGTCTAGCCCATTCAGTTGCAGCTGACTATACGGTAATATTTAATGAAGAAATAAAAGCCCACTATTTATAACGTGAAATAAGCACCCATGCTGATGTGTAGATAATAGCAATAAACAAACTTGCTGCCAGAGTGGTTCAATTAAGTGGTATGTGCCTGCTTAACTAAAAATGAATGTTTTAATAAAGTGTCTTGAAGGAAAAGTTATAGCATAGCATCTCCCCTCCTTGATAATTTTTAATCATCGCTTTTTGGCTTTCAGGCTACACATCACTTTCCTTTCATTTCCCCTATGGAGCGTGATGCTGCGCTGTTAGTGAATTTGCCTCTGAATGGAACAATAAAGAACAAAGGCTCTTAGTACAAAGAGTCTTACTTGGGATTTTTGATTTGCTTAGGCTGGAAGCTCTCCAGCAAGGTGGCGGAAAAGTCAGGACTCCTGCACCTTTCAAAGCTGCAGAGATGAATTTCAGCACGTGCAGCTTGTCATGCAATTACGCCTGCCAAAATCCCCTGTTCTGTACAACTGCAGAAGGTTCAGGAGTCTTGTCCTCTTTTTCACCTGGTCACTCTACTTCGCCAGGAGCACCCGAATCCAACCTTTGCAGCTTCTCAGATTTCTCAGATCTGACTGCTTAACCACAGCCAAGCACGACTCTCTTCCCTTTTGCTGGGGAAACCCTGCTGCAGCCATGAGTTAAGGGGCCCCACCATGGATCTGTATAGACCCAGCTAACCACTCTGTTAAGTTACCAATGTCTCAGCGGAGGCTGAATTCAGTAAGGAAGGGTTTCAGAGACAATGCAAGGCAGAGCAATGCAAGGCAGGCAAGGCAGAGGGAAAGCTTCTCAAGTTGTTGTTGGCATCTGTCTGTCTTGAGGTATAACAGAGCGTGTTTCCAGGGGTTAACTCAAACCAATGAGCTAGCAGAACCAAAGTGACCTCAGGGCACAAGCCGGAGCAGTATGTATGGAGGCCCTTGGCTGCCCAGATGACAAAACCCTCCCCCCTTGGCCTCACTGATGTCACCCAGAGGAAAGCAGAGCAATGTGTTTGGCACCAGCTTAGCTCCAGAAGGAGGCATAAAAGGCCATCTAACCATTTTAGGGTCTCTACTCTAGATTTGTGCAGGGTTTACTCCTCAAACAAGCCAATAACCTGGGCTGAAAGAACCAACCAACCAACCAACCAACCAACCCAGAACTCAGCTTGAATAAGTGTGTTGGATACAGCTCCCATCATCCCTGACCATTGCCCATGCTGGCTAGGAAAGACGGGACTTGGAGTACAGCAACACCTGGAGAACCACCACAGGTTCCCCACACCTGAGGTGCACTCACCTCTTCATACTCAAGAGTTGTCCTTTTCTAACAAAGGTATTTCTCTTTTTAAAAAAATTAAAACCGGTGTCCATATTTTGATGGGCTAGCTCAGGCTTCCTCAAACTCGGCCCGCCAGATGATTTTGGCCTACAACTCCCATGATCCTTAGATAGCAGGGCCAGTGGTCATGGATGATGGGAACTGTAGTCTCAAAACATCTGGAGGGCTAAGTTTGAGGAAGCCTGGGCTAGCTATATTGGTCCTGACCAATAGCTCACTCTAGCAGTAGCTGTTTTATGGGCCAAAGTAGATTATACATTACAAGTATGATTGTATTATGTAAAAGTAAGAGTTAAAGATGTAGAGCAAGGTTTATTTATTTTTTAGAATGCCAGACTAGGACCTGGGAGAGCAGGATTCAAATCCCCACTCAGCCATATAGCCTCCTGGGTGACTTTGGGGCAGACACTGCCTCTCTCAGCCCAACCCACCACACAGGGATAAAATGGGACAAGGGAGAATTGTGAATGCCACACCTTGAGCTCTTTGAAGACAAGGTGGGATATAAATGTAAGCAGAATTTGTTTTCTGGGGGTTTTTATTGTGGGGGGATTGGAAAGTTGTCTATACAAGTGGATATAACAAGTATATAACATATGAAGAGGATAGATGAATGAACACAGCTACAATATGCCAAAAGGAGAATAACAACAAGCATTTCCAGTTTAGTTTCTCTACAACAGGCATGGGCAAACTCCGGCCCTTGAGATTTTTGAGACTACAATTCTCATCATTCCTGACCACTGGTCCTGCTAGCTAGGGATGATGGGAATTGTAGTTCCAAAACATCTGGAGGGCCAGAGTTTGCCTATGCCTGCTCTACAATAAGAGAGTTGGTTAATGTTAAGACATTTTCTGGTGTTCAAATAAGCTTCTAGTTACTTCAGATGTATAAAGTTAATTACAGGAGAATAAACTGTGGGAGGGGAGGGGAAATCAAAGTGTGCAACTCTAATTACTTTTCTAGCTGTTCTGTGGAGCAGGTATTAAAGGGAAACCGGTGTTCTTAAATGTCATCCCTCAGCTAATAAGTATCATAATAATTAATGGCTCTCTGAGCAAAGTTGCTTAAGGTCAGTTCTTTTAAATTCTAAATAAAGCCACTAAATGAAATTTTCAAAAGCATCCTGGTGACATGCCAAGTGGCATTCGCTTTAATTAGGGCCAACATGCTTTATGTTCTCTGCACACTCATCCTAAACAAGTGACGAGGAAGGAAGTCTCATAGACTTGGGATAGCTAAGCGCTGCGGGTTCTAGTCCCACGTTGGGCAAAAAGATTGATGGAGGGCTGGATGGCCCTTGTGGCCCCTTCCAACTTTCCAATTCTATGATTCTATTACTTCAGTGGCATTTCCTTCCATGTGCTTGAACAGCAATGCACGCAAGAAACTAGTTCCATTCAGGGATGGATGGATGCAATGAACATGTAAATTTGATGTCAATTTTAAACTGTACATTTAGCTTATAATGTATATTTTTAAAAGTCGCTTTTATTCGTGTTTCGATTTAGTTTTTCTGCTTTGATTTTTATTGACACTTACAATGTATATTTTTTACATTCTTTGTAAAGCACTTTGAGGTTTTTGTTTACAATTAAGTGGCATGTGAATTTTGCTAAATGCAATGAAATGTGCACTGTTTTGTTTTACTAAAAGAAGTAATGCAGCCCTAGGAGATGATTCCTGAAACCCAAGAGGGGTTATTGCACTAAAATGTTTATCCCTGGGGCTTTGGTTCACCTTTGGAAAGACCAGATAAGAAGCTTTATTGGCCGTGTGTGCATGCGGTATGCAAAATGGAGAGTCCCCATTCACGCATATATGCAGCAGGGGTGGGGAACCTGTTGACCTTCCAGATGTTGCTGGACTACAGCTCCTGATATCCCAGATTATTTGCCATGCTGGATTGAGCCAATGGAAGCTGGAGGTGAACAACGTCTGGAAGGCCACAGTTCCCACCCCAATATACTCATGTACAGCTTGCACACACATAGGCCCCATCTGCACTATACATTCCAAGCAGCATCATAACACTGCAAGTTGTCATGGCTCTGCCCCCCACCAAGTATATTTTGTTATGGGAGCTGAGAGTTGTTAAGGGACCCCATTCCTCTCACAGAGCTACCCCTTCCCAAGTGGTTTAACAAGGAATCCCTCTTCCAAACAAGCAGAGGGGTCCTCACCCCTGCCATGCAGGAACAGTAATTGGGGGAGGAGGGAAGGGAGAAGGAAGTTTGCCCAGGGAGACTTCAGAAGCATCCTAGGCCTCTTAGACTAGGAGCCAACGACCTCCACCCCCCAAGATCTCTCTGAAGGAAAGACAAGGCTTTGGGGGCTCTGAGAGAACTCCTGAGTTGGGTGCTCTCATCTAGGGGAGATTTCAGAACAAGAAGACATAACACAGGGCAATAGTGCGCTCTGTTTCCAGTCATCTTAACAGAGCTATGGTATTAGGAGCGTGCAGGGGGTTACTTAATAATAATAATAATAATAATAATAATAAATTTTATTTATATCCCGCCCTCCCCAGCCTTAGCCGGGCTCAGGGCGGCTAACAACAATAAAACAGTACAAAAGTACAGCATAAACAACACTCTAAAATCATTCATTCTAAAATTAATTAACTTCTGGAATTTTGGTTTCTTTTCTTTTTTAAAAAACAACAACACAACAGACTTCACAGGGATGCATTGGGCACTAGAAGTGGTAGTTATTATGCAAACTGAAACAACTGGCAACAGACGGTTGGAGAGAAAAAGCATCAAAAGATAATAAAGGGGTGACAGAAACTAAATACAAGAAGCTTTTCATCTAGGCCTCATTATAGGCTTTATACACAAAGCTCCACAAGCTGGTGCATAAATCTTGGATGGCAAGATCAAATGTTTATTTCAATCAAGGAGATGAAAACAGAGTTATCTAACAGAAAAGTGTCGCCTCAGCATGTTTCCACATGAACAAACTCGAGAAGAACTGTACAACTATCCTTAGTTTTCCTTCTTCCCATACTTTTCCTAACATATATACTGTGAGTGGCCTGGATCAAACGTAAACACGAAACCATGGCTTAGTGTTATGTATGAACCCTGCACAGCAGTTTAACTATAGTTACAGCTTTGTCTACAGCCAACAAACCAAGATCTGAAGCCATGGTTTGTTGTTTGCTTACAAACCTTGATTTGTTTTAACTATTGCTTGGCATTACATGTGAATCCAGTACCTTCTCCTTAACCATGGTTACTCTGAACACCTTAGCCAAGACATTCCACAGACTACAAAGGCACGAGGCAAGAGATGTTGGAAAAAAGAAACCAAACTTTGTAGAAACCATGGTTTGCTTGATTACCGTGGAACCACCGATGGTTTACTCATGGTTTGTTAAACAAACTATGTGTCTTTATTCCTCTTCCTGTTTTTCTATGCCACTTTTCTCATCTCAGAAATGTAAGAGGCTAGAAATAGGCGAAGGTAGTTAGCATCTTTCCTTTACATGTTCTATAATGGCCATCTGTTCCCTAAGGTAGGTGTTCTAAGCAAAACAAATCAGTGTCTTTCTTTTCTTGTATTGTTCCACAATGTACCCACGTACAACAAAAATAGTATGTTTTCTGAAAAAATCCAGTGTCTATATATGTTGCTTGATTTTGAATGTTGGGCGGGGGAATTGAGTCAATTTCCCTGTTTTATAACAAATGCCAGAAGGGCAACAGATTATTTGGGTTTCCCTTCTATATAGAAGACATATTGAAAGAACAGTAGACAGATTTTGTAGCTTAGTTTAGGCATCAATAGCTTTGTTTAAAGGGGAAGGGAGAGGGGATGCACAAAGTCCACAAGCTATTTTTCACAACCTGTTGGCTAATAAATAAGACTGGGAGCCACGGAAGCTCAGTATTTTCCTAAGTGTGCCCCTGTGTTTCTTTCCTTCGATACAGCTCTGCCGTGATCCAGCTCCTGTTTATGAGGTGCTGCTTGTCTACAATGGATCTGGGTACATCGTGTAACACCCTTAAGTTAAAAAGAAGAAAAGGAAATGGTTGTGGCAACTCCACAATTCTTCGGAGGATGGTGTAGGACAGGCTGTTGCAGCATAAATTACTACTATGAGCAGCCCACATCTAAGAGATTTCAGCAATGTATAAAGGGGAGGCAGTGGTGCCATGAGAGAAGGACTTCGGACTCTACTTAGCAGGAATGAGCTGCAGCGGATCCCAAACTTGGCAGGGCTATCTTATCATACTTTAAAGTGGGTGAAGTAAAAACGCACTAACATCTAAAGCAGGAATGGGAAACCTGCGGCCTTCCAGATGCATTGGGCTGCAAATCCCATCTTCCCTGACCGTTGGGCTGATGGGAACTGGAGTCCAACAGTACCTGGAGGATCACAGGTTCCTCAGCCCTGGTCTAAAGATCTCTGCCTAACCTCCAATGAGACCTTTTAAGCCCAGAGTCTCAAATTGCCTAAGTGCACCTCTAAGACGAGGGCCCTTCAGGCAATGATCGTTCATGTGAGGACAGGGATGTGTGAAGATGCTCATCTGCGAAACATTGAAGGGAAGCACTGCATCTAATGCACAGCTCACAGCCTCGTCTTTTATACTCCTTAAGAACAAAACAGTGTAACTCACCGGGAAGTAAAGAAGCAGTGACCCAAACAGGATAGTCTCCAAGAGAATGAGACCAGATGCCTTAATGCTCTAGAAAAGAAAACAAACGAGTACAAGAAATTAGACTGACACAGACATTGCATTATTCGTTTCACATTATATTTAAAATATTTATAGCAGAAACATTCAGAGGCTTGCAGATGAAATGTCATATTGGTGGGTTATAATCAAGGTGAATAAATGTTACCGATTTTAGCACAAGACAGAGAAGACTGACCACCTAACAACCAGATTGGTAAATTAATTAACCCAAACACAGAATACTGGTGTTTAAACTGCTTTCAATACCTGTTAATATGTTTGCTTGTAAGCAGGTTCCCCTCATCAGGATTTACTTCCTAGCAAATAAGGTTGCAACATTAGCTCTATTGAGATCAATATAATACAAGTCAGTGTAAACTGAAGCAGTCCATTTTAAATAGTTTAGTACAGATGCTTGAAGTGTGCTCAGACAGGCATAATCACATCCATTTCTCCTATATGATTTAAACAGATGGCAAATATTCACATGGGCTGGGCATTTTCTGTAGCTTCACTTTCCTAGAGGGAAACACCATTTACCTCACCCCAAGCTATTTTCTTTTAATGGTTGATTGAATTTATATCCCACCCTTTCTTCACCACCCCCACCCCAGCCAGCAAGCACACCCACAATAATAAACAAAACAAAAAAATTATGAAACAGCTACAGTTAAAAATATTATTTCATCCAGTGATCTCAGGACTGCCAGGAACATATTCTTCAGCCACCAAACGTTTGAGGTTTCAAATTTCTCCTGAAAGCTAATAATGTTGGAGACGGATGCACCTCACTAGACAGGGCTTTGCGACATATACCGTATTTTTCTCTCTATTACACGCAGATTTTTTCTCCTAAAAAGGAAGGGGAAATGTCTGTGCGTGTTATGGAGCGAATGTGGGGGGGGGGGTCCCTGGAGCCGATTAGGGGAGCGCAGGAACAAAAATCAGCAAAAATCAAAGCGCGTTGTGTCGGAGAAGGGAAACCTGAAAAGAGGAAGTGGTTGCTTTCCTGCATTCTGCCTCAGGGTCTTACTGCCCACCCTCCTCTGTTTCGTTGCTGTGTTTGCTCAAACGGAACAAAGAGCAGGCAAATCCCCTCCCCTCCAGGCAAGCAGAGGGGAAAGCAGAGGTCTTTCCTTTTAATTCCTCTCCGTGCTCCTCGCAGGCAGCCAGAAAACATGCAGGAGGAGAGAGAAAGCTGGCTTCGGTTTGTGGAAACTTTTGCCTTTTTTTCTCCCTCCCGTTAAATCCCTCTCCTGCTTTCTTAGCCAGCTGCTTCTCTGCACACCGCTCTCTTGTCCCTTCTGTGTTTTTCCTTCACTCCCCACTTAAAATGTAGTTACAAAGCATGGATCCACATGGATCCTCAGGATCTTTGTATTGGGCCACCCCAAATTCACCATCAGATCACATAGCAGCCTGCCCCCCTAAAATCACACACCCACTGTTGCCTGGGGCTGCAATGGTGCAAAAACGTGGTTAAAAAGCATGGATCCACATGGATCCTCAGGATCTTTGCATTGGGCCACCCCAAATTCACCATCAGATCACATAGCAGCCTGCCCCCCAAAAATCACACACCCACTGTTGCCTGGGGCTGCAATGGTGCAAAAATGTGGTTAAAAAGCATGGATCCACATGGATCCTCAGGATCTTTGCATTGAGCTACCCCAAATTCACCATCAGATCACATGTCTGTGGCCACAGCATGAAGCACAAAAATGATACATCCACTGTTTCATTCAAAAAATTTTTCCTTGTTTTCCTCCTCTAAAAACGATGTGCGTGTTATGGTCAGGTGCGTGTTATAGAGCGAAAAATACGGTAAATGAACCTCCCCGGACCCTTAGATCATTATCTGAACTTAAGGGGAATTTAATTATAATATATACATATCGAGGCTGAGAGATGGATACCAAAAATGACTGTAATGTACATGATATATGATTTTAGAGCTATTCTAATCAGTTGTGTATGTTTGCTTTTCACAGTCAGCTCTGCTACTGCTATCAAGTAAGTCCAAGGGCTTCTTGAGACAAAGCAGTCGCCCAGTATCAGGTATAAGCAGTCCACCACAGCTGAAAATCTAGGGAACTGAAACCCTAGAATGTAATTTTCCAAGGGGGAAAGCCTTACTTTTTAAAATGCCCCCAAACTTCTTCTGGGGAGCAAAACTGCTTGCTGCTTTACGGTGGCCTGATTATCTCTTTGGCACTGCCTTTAATAATTTCAACTATTTTGGCTTGCAGAATCAGAGTACATGCAATTCATGGCTACTGGCATTTTGGAATGTACGTAATACTCAGAAGGTAAATTGGAAGGCTATTCGTTCCCATTGCTTCTTTTCTCTTGCCTCTTCTCCTATACCACCAGGGCCATCAGAACAGCCTTCAGCAATGCATAAAGCAGTGGTCAAGGGAAAACAGAACCTGGAGGAGTTTAGGCATTCCCCAATCAGTAATACACTCTTGCTGCCATTCAATCATTTCTGCTGGGACCACTCAACTGCTCGTTGTGCTAGGAGGGAATCTGTTGTTTCTCCACCCTAGAGAATCATTAAATATCTCTTTGCCAAAATGATGCAGCTGTCTTTGGGCATTGCCGTTTCCCACAGGCCAACAAACCAGGCAGCTTCTTTGGCATAATGAAGGTTGTCATCAAATGTCAAAACATTTCCATGCTGCCCTCTGCAATGGCTACACTTTTGCTAGCAAACCCGCATTAATGACTGCACATGTAATGCACATATAGGAAAATGACCAGGGAAACACCAGCACAATTTCCTTTAACAGCTCAAGCTAATGTGCCGCAGCACCAGATATCAAAATCCAGCGCTAGGAACTTTCAGTTGGTGTAGAATATTAATTTCCAGAGGACTTCCGGGTTGACGCGATCTGGAAATGGCGGATTCCCTCCGAGCTCCGGAGGGAACCGGCTCCACTGAGGATGGGTCTTTGCCGCGCCGGCGACGCGGGGACCCTTAAAAACCGCAGGCGCGGAAGCCTGCGGACTGAAGACTCGGCGGGTGCCTTAAGCGCCCCCCCTGATTCGCAAAGAGCCTTTTTAAAGGCTGCGGAGGGGATACGGGGGTGGCGTGGCACTGAGAGTCGATCGCTACCTCGGTGGAGTGAAGCCGCGAGCCAGGACCAGAGAGCGTTGACTTCCTTCCTTGAAAATTTGGACTGAAAGAATTACCCGTGAGTAAGACGGATTGGGACTATATAAAAATTTTACCTTGAATTGGAGACGATCGGGGGGGGTGCTAAAAGGAAGTCCGCACCCCCCCTCTTGCAGACGACCTAAGCAACGGCATAAGAGCTAAGCTGGAGAGCCTACCCCTGGTGGGGTGAGTTAAAAAGGACATTAACTTCTAAGATTTAACTAAAGGAAATTTTGGGCTGGAGAGTGGAGTTTTGGGAACTTTCTTTTTGCTTCAAACAACCCCCCCTCCCGGGCCCGGGAACGTCCTGCCTCGGTGCCTGTGTAAGAGCTGCGGAGTTGGACAGCTGTCAAAGCTGCCAAACGGTCGGTTTAAAGTGCAAAAATTGTCATCTCTTGACTAAGACGAGTTACAATTGAGCTAAAATCGTTGGAAACAAAGTAATAACAATCAGTGAAAGGATTGTTGGTGAAAAGGCTAATAAGTAACCAGATTCCCCCTAGGGGGAATTCTGTGAAACTACAATGGATACAATGGCTGTGGAAGGAAAGTTACTGGTGGAAATTGAAAGGATGTTTCAATTGGTGGGAACTTTACAAGAGCAGAGCTTGGCCATGAATAAACAGCTTGAGACTATGACCTTGGGAACAGGCAACTCTGCTCTTTGTATTGAGGACCTCAACGAGAAAGAATTCACAGCTGAATGGGAAACAATACCTACAGAGTTGGAAGAGACTAAACAACAAGAAAAAGAAGAAGTAATCCTGGGAAGTAACAACCAAAAGTTGACATCTGCGGAACATAAGCAAGGAAACGCTGGGAACATATCTACTACAAGTCTGCGAAAGATACAGAAGAAGAAGAAGGAGGTCCCGGGACAAAATGGAACACAGAAATTTAAAATAAAGAAATATGTTTGGGGCCTCCGTTTGGACTTTGATCTTGAAGAGATAGGCTTTGTGGAAATTCTTCAGCAGTTACTTTTGAACCCCCTTGTGGGAAGAGGAAACACTTTGATGGTGAAAGAACTTTTCCCAGACTTGATGACTGACATAAAGGACTACCAACGGGACAGGCGGAGAGGGACTGAAAGGGATTTGAAAGCCTCGGACGTGAGGAACCCAGGCTGAGAAATTCGAATTTGGATTTTTATTGGGAAGGGACAAAAACCGGGGATGGGAGGGAGGGAAGAAGAGACTCTTAAAAACTCTTAAGACTTTTAGGTTTGGTTAATATGACTCTTAATTAAGATAAAATGAAAATCGATGGAAGAGAACTTAAGTCCAACTTAGGAAAATTAATTTTTATTATAAAATAAGGTGATGAATAACATTGTTAAGAGGAGAAATACCAACTTGCTGATATAATCTTGAAACTGGGATGCACGAGGGGAGGTGGGGGGAAGTCAGGGAACAAGTTTATGAAACGGGGATTGGTTGATTTTATACATGTTTTTGTCTTTTTCTTTTCTTTGTGTATGTTTTGTCTTTATAAAACCAGAAAACCAAATAAAAATTTTATTAAAAAAAAAAAATGAAGTGGTACCTCAGGTTAAGAACGGTTTCAGGTTAAAAACAGACGTCTGGAATGAATTACTGTAAGTTCGTAACCAGAGGTACCACTGTATTTAAATAATAATAATAATAATGATAATGATAATGATAATAATAATAATTGTTATTGTTGTTATTATTATTATTATTATTATTATTGCTGGGAGCAGGTGCTGCCTTAAACACAGTCAGACACCAATAACACTGATCTGGCAGCAGTGCTTCAGGGTTTCAGATGGGCTGAAATGGAAATTGTGCAGTGTGGTTTTCATGCACAGCACTGAAGGTAATTCTGA